CATCGGGCTCCCTGCTCGGCGGGGAGTCTGCTTCTCCCTCTGACCCTCCCCCCTCTCATGCTCTCTGTCTCTCATTCTCTCTCTCTCTCTCAAATAAATAAATAAAATCTTTAAAAAAAAAATTTAATACTTTGGAGAAACTACTATGTAACAAGCACTGTTAACAAATAAAAGATGAATGTGATATGGTGCTGAACTGAGTAGCTCACAGCCTAGAGGGGAGCAACTCCATTCCTCAAATCCATGCCAACTCACAGAGGTCCATCTTCAGCTTTAACTCTTAAAAAGACCCTTTCTTATACACTAACTCCTTTAACGCTCATAAAACTCGTTTTAATATTAACTCTCGCTTTACAGAAGTGGAAATGGAAGATCTGCAAAATCAATGCCTTGAAAAAAATTCAATCACAGTCCAATTAACTGCCTTGCAAAAATCCAATCCAAAGTCCTCCGACTCCAAATGGCATGCTTTTCTCTCATTTATTCATTCACTTATTCAACAAATATTTACCAAGCAATCGCTATGTTCTAGGCGCTGGAAATGCGACAGTAACCGAGGCTCAGACCAAACTCACTCCAGTCCTAACATGGTACCAAGCTGTTATCTGCTTTAGGACCCATAACAAATTATTTCACCTCCCTAAACCTCAGGTTTGTCATCTGTAAAACAGAGATAATGCCTACCTGGCATGAGGCATAGTGCCTGACGTTCGCGAATGGCAGAAATAACCACTAATACAACTCATCACAGAGGACTAAGAGTGAACAGTGCTTCCGTTTAGAATAAAAATGAGGCCCAAGACAGTTAAGTCGCCCCCAAAAAGGCCACCCTCTGCCAGCCCCTGCCAGCCTCCGACTCCGCGGACTTGGGGACCTCTGCACGCGCCCAGGCACTTCGTTGGCCACACTCGTCCTCTACCCGCAGACGTCGGACCCGTGCCCCTTTTCCGATGCCCAAAGGATTCCCCCAGCAGCTCTCAGGCAGAGACGCACACACACCCCCAACCCCCCGCCTCCCCGAAGGCCAGACAGGAGGAGCCGCCCAACGGTCCAGGCCAGGAAGACCACTGCCTTTGCCCGCTGGGAAAGTAGGACTGGGCGGGGTCGCCCCGGTGCCACTACTCCTCACTCAGTATTCACCTCACTGTAGAAGGTCATAAATGCTTCCTCGGTGCTCCCTCCGCCAGCCGAAGCCCCGCTCTCTCCAGGAGCCGCCATTTCCCCGGCCCAGCAACCACGTGACTCCCCTGCGCAGGCGCAGCCTCCTGTGATTCTTACAAGCCCGCCTCTCTAGACCCGCCCCCTTCCTTGTGACTCTTAAAGGGTTCGTAGCCCAGCCAGACACCTCTAATTGAGGTGAGATATACATAACATATAATTAAAATGGATAATTCAGTGTTTCTTAGTACACTCATAGTATTGTGCAACCACCAACCTCTGTCTAGTTCCAAAACAGTTTCATCACCCCAAAAGGATATCTGGCACCTATGAAGTATTTCCTCCCCATTCTCCCCTTCTACGCAACCCCTTACAACAACCAATCTGTGTTCTGCCTCTATGGATTTACCTATTCTGGACATCTCATAATGCAATCATACAATATGTGACCTTTTGTGTCTGCCTTCTTTCACTGAGCATAATGTTTTCAAGTTTCATCCAAGGTATAGCATGTGTCATTCTTTTTTTTTTTTTAAGATTTTTTATTTATTTGACAGAGAGAGAGATAGCGACAGCAGGAACATAAAAAGGCGGAGTGGGAGAGGGAGAAGCAGGCTTCCCGCCGAGCAGGGAGCTGATGCGGGGCTCGATCCCAGGACCCTGGGATTATGACCTGAGCCGAAGGCAGACGCTTGACTGAGCCATCCAGGCACCCCTATTTCATTATTTTTTATGTCTGAATGTTATTCTGCTGTATAAATATACCACAATTTGTTTTCATTCATCAAATGATAAACATTTGGATTGTTTCCATCTTCTAGCTATTGTGAAATGATGCTGCTATGAACATGTGTGTACATGTATTTGAGTACCAGTTTTCAGTTTTGGGGGGGTACATACCTTGAAGTGAAATTGCTGAGTCTTATGGTGATTCTGTATTTAACTTTTTAAGCAACTGCCAAGCTATTTTCCACAATAGCTTAACCATTTTACATTCCCACCAGCAACATGCAGGGGTTACAGTTTTTCCACATCTTCACTAACACTTGTTATTTTCCTTTATTTTTTTTTTAAATTATAGCCATCCTAGTGTCTACACAATCCTTTGCACAAACTCAGTAAGACCCTCCATTGAATGCCTAGCCTAAGAGATAATCAAAAAACAGCAGTACCTGAAAAATAGAACAGTTTCTGAAACTAGAATGGCACTTAAATATCACCTAGAAACACAGGAAATTATTACCACTAGGTAGTGGGCTTATAAGTGATTATTATTTCTATCTTTCTGCTTTTGTGTTTTTCCAAGTTTTCTGCCATGAACATTTGAAAATGTGCCCTGCAGGCATTTCTTATCATTTAAGTCATACAAACTAGGGCTGATATTTTTCCAAGCAAAAGATGATCAATAAAAACAGTTCTACAATTTCACAGAAAGCAAAGAAGATATTTTTATAATCACGAATAAGGTAATCTGGCCCAACCCTCTCATCTAAAGGAGGAAAAACTGGGCTCAGAGAGAAAAAATGACTTAGGAAAAGGCTATAAAACACTATGGTCTTTTTCACATTTGTTAGATGGTGAAAGAGAGGTCATGGCAAAGCCTTCCCCAGACTCCTACTTATGCTCTTTTCCACTTCATTACCTCACATTGCCAGAAGTCCAGTTATCAAGCCTGTTCAATTACATATTAATGCATTTTACAAATATTAATTCAGTGCCTACTTGACCAAAGCCCTGATAACTTCAAATGGTGAAAAGCACAAAGAGAGAGCGAGAAAGAACAAAATGTAGCCATATTAGAATGACTAAGGAGGTTGGGGAAAGTTTCTGAGAAGGTGACTTTTAAGCTGTGACTTGAGTGACATGTCAATGCAACAGAAGAACGCTGGCACCTCTTAAGAGACTACATACACATACACATATAAAAAATTTTCCCCAGAACCCTAAGTCGGAGCATTCTTGACATAGCCCCCCAACCCCTACATTAGCCATCTTATCGATGCTACGTCCAGGAAAGGGAAGGCTTCCTTTGAGTGTTTTAACAACTTCAGGATTGGAATCGTGGGATGGGGTGGATGCCGCGCCTCACTCTAATGGGTCCAAGGGCCCGGATTCGGACTTCAGACAGCGTTCCTCCTCCGTTATTATTCTCCAGGCCTTTGGCCCCAAAGACCTTGCTAGGGATTGGCTAAGAATAGGCCCGCCTCTCGCTCAGGATTCGCTGTGAACTGCAGGAACCCCGCCTCCTCCACTTCGTAATTCGCTACTCCTCGGTTCATCCCGCCTCTCCATCGAAAAGATTGGCTGCCTGGCTCCCAAAGTCATTAGCGCCCGCAGAGAGGTGACTGGAGAAGTCCTGCTACAACAACAATGGCTGTCACCGCGTTGGCCGCTCGGGTGCGGCTGGGCGTGCGGGGCGTTAGGGCCCTAGAAGCCCGAGGCTTCAGCTCCGAACGGGTACGCCGGCGGTAGTGTCCGCAGCCCCAGCCCTAAACGCGTATTCCATCTCCCCTTCGCACCTTTACCGACGTTCTCACCTCTCTCCGCAGTCAGACTCCGGCGCGGGCTCGATCCGGGAGGCAGGTGGGGCCTTCGCAAAGAGAGAGCAAGCTGAAGAGGAACGATACTTCCGGTGAGGTCCACGGAGCCCCGAGTCCAGTCCAGATCTCTCCGGGCCCTTCGATCCTTCTTAAACTGAGTCGCCCGGGCACCTGGGTGGCTCAGTAGGTTGAGCAGCCCACTCTTGGTTTCCGCTGCGGTCGTGATCTCGGGTTGTGGGATCGAGCCCGGGGTCGGGCTCCGTGCTGGGAGGGGAGTTTGCGTGGGATTCTCTCTCTCCTCCCTCCGCCCCT